TACTCTCTCCCACTGGTCCCCAGCACACTCTACTCCCAGGGATGATGCTCCTCTGGACATACCCCAGCCTCCACCTCAGCTTCTCCATGGCCTGAGCACCCTGAAGAGTGATGACCCTCACCACTCGGTCACTAAAGGTGAGCCCGGAGCAGGCTCACAGGGCCTGTTCTAGGGACTCCCCGCCGAGTGCCCCCCAAACCTCAAACTCAGGACTAAGTGAGGAGGTAAGGCCTGCCAGCCTGCGACCTGGCAGTCCTGGGTGCTGCTGGCCACATGGTTGGACACAAAACACAGGAGAGGGTCACACAGCGAAGCCGTGGAGACCTAGAACCTGTTGCTGGAAGCCCACATAGCCGATGAATCCACCCTGTAACAAACATTTGCTAAACACAGGTTGAGGCTCCCTAAGCAGGATAAATATTTACCAGCACCGCTCTGGGTGATGCTCTGGGTGATGCTCTGGGTGATGCTCTGGGTGATGCTCTGGGTGATGCTCTGGGTGATGCTCTGAGTGATGCTCTGGGTGATGCTCTGGGTGATGCTCTGGGTGATGCTCTGGGTGAGGCACAGAGGAAGGGGAGCTCTGGGAAGGGACAGCGCTGCATGGGGAGTGCTAGAGTAGGCAGCGAGGCTGGCGGAGGTTGTGGAGGTGAGACACGGGCACAGAGACACTTTAGTGACAGCCCACCTGCTCAGGACTGCTCAGCTGGTGCCCAGGGATCCAGCAGCCACACCAGCCAGTCCCTGAATGCTCCCAGCACCTCCCTCCGGGCAGCTTTCCCTCAGACCCGAGCGCCACTCTGGCCTCATTTCCAAAAGTGGCATCACCATTCCCCCGGGCTCCTGGGTTAGCAGTCTGCAAAGTCTTCCTGACACTCCCTGCTCCTTCATCTGCTATGGCCAATCCGTCAGCAGCGCGGTGTGCTGCTCCTTGGAAATGTCACCTGCTATGCACATCAACACTTGTCAGCATGGACATCATTCCACCTGACCAGATGTCGCAGGACCCAACTATTCACTTCCGGGAAGAAGAGCAGGGCTTTGTCTCACACTAAGCGACACGGTCACTACTCAGCTCTGAGCTCTGTGTAGATGGCGTCAGTGTGCAGCCCGTAAAGAAAGACCCGTGATGAACCAGTTTATGAAATCCCCACACACACATCTTAAAACTTGTGATGCCCAGGCATAGAGAGGAAGAAGGGGTGCGGCACCATAGCTGGTCCATGATGTGGGAGCTGGTGTGCAGCATGATGGGGTCCCTGGCCCACCCATCATCCTAATGGTGGACATGTGTGTGTGCAGCTCTAGGCACTGGGTGACTGAATGAAATACGCAAATATGAAGTCAATACAATGCTAAATTAATTGTTTCTTGCCTTCCCATAATTTACCCAACCTGGTACTACAGTATAAGATTTGTTTCTTCATACTGGGTTTGCTAAAGGTAAGGCATACTCTATTTTACGTCACAAAATGTTAAAATCAAGTAACATCTATTTCTCACGTTCCTGCTGTCAACAGGACCAGGTGACAGGTGATGAGGGACAGTGCCTGCTCTGTTAGGAACCTCAGGATGTAAACAGGTGTCAGGCACAAGCCTTGCTCCTCAAGGGATCGGCTGTCTGATGGCAAGACAAATAGAAACAAGTCATTATCAATAGCAGGAGCTGGGAGCTAAACCAGCCCACCCAGAGAGTGCGAAGAGGTCAGTCCTGCAGGGGAAACACCCTAGATCCCCACCCAACCGACCTCCCCTACTAGGTGTCCAATTACAGCCCCACCCTCTCACATTACATGCTGCCAACCCCAACTCTACAGGTGAGGAAGCTCAGAGACTGTCCAAGGTCATGCAGGGAGTGGTACCAGGACAGAAACCCAGGTGTACCTGCTTGCAGCTAGAGCTGCCGCCCCTTCCACACCAGAGACAGCCCAGCTGCATCTTGAAGATGCTGGGTGCTTTAGTTTAGTTACTTTTGTCATTGCTGAGACAAAATATCCAATACCCACAAGTTAAAGGAGGAAAGATTTATTTGGCTCACAGTTAACAGAGGTTTCAGTTCATAATCAGCTGGCTCCAAGCAGGGTAGATAGCACACAGGCCTCACAGGTGACCAACAGTTCATGGCAGGCAGAAGGTGGCAAAATATCCCTTGTATCTTATACAGGCTACCTGCCCTTAGGGTAGGCATCAGTCAGTCCAAGTACCCTTGATCCTAGCATTGTGCCATGAATCAATCCCAGCTCACACACTCTAGACCGAGTCACCTCTAAAAATGCCCCACCTCTGACCGCATGAGGCTTTGGGGGATCATCTAGACAGAAGTCGTAACACTGGGCAAGATGCAGAACAGAAACAAGGAGGAAGGACAGGGGAAGGGCAGCATATGGCACCTGTGTGAGCGGTGGGTAGAGGGGCACGCCAGGTGCCACAGGATGACAGGAAGCTGGGGCCCAAAGGAGAAGGTCCAACTCCAAGGGAGCTGGCTGCATTCTATCTAGTGGGCCAGGAGCACAGACAGTCCTGACAGGGGGGCCCTGTGAGAAGCACCCCCTCTGTGGGAGCCAGCTGTCAGCCCCATGTGGAGAAAGGCTGCTAATCTAACAATGGTTGGACCAATTTACCAAATAGGAAGAGGGTGGGCTTTCTAAGGGCTGAACAGTTGAGACCTTGAAAAGGATTGACCTAAGAGCACAAGGCTGTGTATCCAGAGACCACCCAGGTAGCTGTGAGTCCTGACTGGCCACAAAACCTCTTCAAGCCCTGCTCTCGGTGGGTTAGTGAGACCTGCTTATGAGTGTTGCAGTACAGACCAAACGCTGTGGGGCTGGAATGGGGGCCAAATGAACTCAATCCCCAAAGCATCTGGAAGCCTGCAGAACTCTGGCACACACAAGGGATGAGTACAGAACTCTGCAGCGGAGAAACCAGCCGGATTCTTCCCACACACGCGCCGCGGCAGCCCGTCCTCACCAGCCACACAACCACCTGTCCTGCTCACTGCTCCCCTTAATTTCTGAACTGGCTTCCCACCGCACCAGGGCTGCTCTCCTATCTTCTCATCTCTGCCCAGCATCAAGAGCCTCGGCCTCCCAGGAGCAAAGACCTTCCCCCTAAGGAAGGGTCCACTTCCTTCCCATTACACATAAGTTCCCTTCCTATCCTAAGGGAAACCAAACTGGAAAACAAGACCATGAAGCCACACTGGTCTCGGAAACAACTTTCAGTGCTGGGAAAACCAAGGGTCAACATGCCTAGGACAGAAGGGAGGGAAAACATGAAAATCCAAGATCCACTCCCAGTATCCTCTCTACCACCCACCTCTTGCCCACCTGGCAGGACCAACCCTTCCTCTGGGTCTCAAGGAACAGGTCCAGAGGGAGACAGGGTGAGGGAGCTGGTGAGATAGGCAAGAAGCTGGTGGGCAAGCTCAGGCCACAGAAATGAACAAAATATGGAAAATTAAACAAACCCAGACACTGTAATGTGTGCATATTAGATTAACTCTCCAAAGGGTCATGACCTTGAGGAACATATCCAACCAGGAAGCAAAAGAATAAACCTGATTAATGAGGAAGCATGAGCTGCGGCTTCAGCAAAGCCAGCCAGCCCGAGGGGCCCAGCTGAGTCGCAGGAGCTTCCTTCCCTAGGAGAGGCAGCCACTTCTTCGGCCCTCACCCCCATCCCAGCTCACCCTCGGAACCACAGCGCAACCAGACTTCTCTCTCAAGCTGCCCCTACCAGCCAGGGCAGCCCCCCATCCCAAAGGGTGCCACGCCAGCTGTTCCAGGTGTCCAGGAAGTGTCCCTATCACCAGGTGACCCACGGAGAGTACAAGTGAAGGTAGTTCTCTCTGTCCCTGGCAGGGCTCCCCGGTCTTGGCCCGTCCTCAGACTTCTTGGGCTGGTCTTGAGGATACCCACTGCCCGGCCTAAGGGCCCAGCCAGAGCTCCCTCTCCTTCCCAGGCAACCCAGGCCCCTGGGAGACATGCCCAGGAGAGCCACTGGAGGGAGGCAGGGAGGTGGCACCGCGTGGCATCACCAGACAGCAGCACCGGGAGGAAGATGGCAGCATCAAGTGCAGATGCCAAGAGCCACACAGCCCGAGGTCCAGGCGGGGAGCAGCGCGGACCGCATTGCCCCGCCATTGCCAGGTGGCTGGGCCAGAAGGCCGTGGCCCGGCGGCCGCCGCGCGCCTCCCCCACCCCAAGGCCCAGGCCAACTCTCCAGGCTCCACCTCCTCCCTCACTTTCCCCAGCCCCAGAAACCCAGCAAGGAGACACAGGTGCTCCGTCCGGGCCGTGGCGCGCGCGCCCTGCACCCGGGCCGGGTCCCAGCCTGGCCGACCCCGTCACCAAGCGCCCCCGGCGGCTCCCCTCCCCTCCCCCCGCCCCTCCCCCTCCGCGCCCACTGCAGGTCTCCAGAGTTTCTCCCTCACTTCCCACTCGGGTGAGCTGGGGTGGGATGGCCGGGAGTCCCATCAGTCGCGGGAAGGAGGGTCATTCCTGATAGGACGCCGGTTCAGCCAAAGACAGACGGCGCGGCGGGCGGGGGTGTGGTGGCGGCTGGAGCGCAGGGCAGGGCAGGGCAGTCGAGGCAGATGGCCGCGCGCGCAGGGGGAGGGGGCGCCGCGAGCCGGGCTGCACCCCGGGAGCCGCGGCCGGAGAGAGGGCCAGGGGCCGGGGAGCCGCGCCAGCGTCGCCGAGGGGCCGTCAGCCCTGAGGGGGCAGAGGCCGGCCGCGAGTTGCGCGGGGAAGGGGAGCACCCCGCGGGAGCACCCCAAGGGAGCACCCCGAGGGAGCACCCCCGCGGGAGCGCGGCGCAGGCGGGCGGGGGGCGGGGGACGAGACGGAAACTCGGGGCAGCGCGGGGCCCCCGAGGGCAGGGGCGCTGGGACGCCCGAGTCGGGGTGCGGCGCGGCGGGGCCGGCGCGGGCTGCGCTCGGGGCCGGGGGCGGCCCTCGGTCGGGGCGGCGGGGTCTCCGCGGCGGCCGCTGCCCTTACCTGGGCGGCTCCGCACTCCGGGAGCTGGCGGGGGCACGGGCGCTGCTCCGCCGGCCGCCGGCTGTTGTTTTCCTTTTTTTTTTTTTTTTTTTTTTTTTCCTCTTCCGCAGCAGCCGCGGCAGCTCCGGTCCGATCCACCGGCAGCCGGAGGCAGAGTCTGTGTCCGGCTGCGAGCGAGCGGGAGCGGGCAGCGCGGGAGGCGCGCGGCGAGGCCCAGGGCGCCACCCGGCGGGCGGCGTGGGAACTGCGGCGGCCCCGCGCACGGCCGGGCGGGGTGGGGGGGGCGGGGGTCCCTACCGGGCCTCCTGGTCCGCCGGCGCCTGCAGCCGCCTGCACAACGGAAGCCCGCTCGGGGTCTCGCCTGGCGCGCCCGGAGCCCAGGCGCGGGGCCCGAAGGGTGGCGGCGGAGCCAGGCAGCCGGGACAAACTTCCCACCGCGGGAGCCGGGTCGCGTGAGGGGCGCCACGCATGGGACCGGGGCGAGGGGCACGCTGTGCTCAAGTGTTGTGGGGCGCCTCGCTCGGGTGCCGGGAGCAGCTGCAGCCGCCGCCTCCCTGCGCAAAGGGGCTGCCCACCTGGCCCGAGGAGTTTTGGGCCCAGCCAGCTTCTGCGGGTAAAGCGCGCCCTCCGGTGGTGCCTGGGCGACAGCGCGCGGGCCGAGCGGGTTGAGTGGACAGAGCAGGCCGGTTACGGGAGAGGCTGGGGCCTCGAGGGTGGCAGGAAGATGGAGATTGGGGGACTTGTCAGAGGAGAAGGGAGGCTCAGAAGCAATAGCTTGCGTTTGGTAGTTCCAGGGCACTACTCTCTGAATACAAGCATCTTGGGAGGAAAGGTTTTGGCATGTAAGCTAGGAGATAAAAGCAGCCCCAGAGCACACAGGTAGCGTGGGGCAGGCCTGAGGACCAACCAGTGGCCCTTCGTCTGCGGTGCAGTTTATTATCACATCATAGCTGTCTGAAAATCAAGGCTGGGGCGGGGCCCCAGAGGGGTAGGAATCCTGGGAGACATACGAGTTCCCCAGACCTACTAGCTCCTCTTCAACCCACGGGGTCTCTGTCTTGAGCAGGTCATGGAACTGACCATGCCAGCCCCCCATCTTGACCTGCACCCCCCGCCCTTCCACAGCACACCCACAGCCCACCAGGCTCCCTGCAAAGGGTTTGTTCCCAGACATACTTGGTTGGGTCTTGGGCAGGAAAAGACAATTTTGAAGGTGCAGAATGCTGGTTGGCATTGCCTTCCCCAGCCAGGCTGGGGGGGGGGGGGCGAGTGGCAGGAGCCCCATGCTCCTCCCCCACTCTGTACCAGTACCCTTAAGGGAAGGTTGTCCTCCTACTGCATAGGGCTGTGTTTCTCCAGGCAAACATTATTTAGCACCTCGGAAACCATCCCATAGATTTACAAACTGATAAGGCCAGTGTCAAGGTGAACCTAGCCCCATTTCACAGGTAAGGAAAACCATGCAGGTTTAGGATCCGCTGTGGGAAGATCACATCTGAGGGAATGGGGCTCTCAGAACTGAGGCTTTGCTCCGGTTCTGTTCCTTTACACTGGACTCACTTCCCTCTTTGCAAATGAGACAGAACAGCAGCATGAGCGTAGCCGAATTCCCTGGACTGGGAGAGTTGAGAAGCATCCCTGTGACTCTGGCAAATGACTTCACCTCCCTCGGCCTGGCCTCTGTTTCCGAATCTCTATAAAGATGAAGGAAGCAGGTGATGGCTAGTTACTTCAAGTGTGCATGGATCTCTGATCCCTTTGGCTGGAAGGAGGCGAGGTCAGTGAGACCATAGGCTGGGGAGGAAAATACTGTGAAGGGAAATGCGTCTGTGTATTTTTTTTGCACTATCATGCTCATTCTGTGACCCGGGGAAGGAAGGGGAAGCTTTATGCAGGTTCCAGAGATCGCTGGTGGATGGAGGAAACTTTGACGATGGCCTTGTGAGACCTCGGTTTTTTCCCTCACCACAAGGGAGATCCTGACTTTCTCCTTTAAGTGTGTGGCCTGAGAAGCAGCAGCCCCTGAAAGCGGAGTGAACAGCAGTGCCAGGCAGCCTCTGAGCCCAGGCCTGGTTTGCCCCCACCAGCTCTCCCGTCTCTTTCCTCTGCAGCCGGTTGTTGAGTTCTCTTGCAATCCTCGCTACTTGCTTCCCACCTCGTTTCCTCCTGAATGTCAGTGCCACTTGCCAATCAAAATTCAATTCTAGGCAAACTAATTTCCCAAGCTCAGCTCTAGGGGTAGGAAGGTCGCTTTTGGATCCAGCATAAGAGGGCAGTGAGCTGGCCCTGCTGATCTTAAATGAAGAAACACAAGGATCAGGAAATGGGGCCCCTTCCTCTGGACACTCTTACTTAAAGAATCCCTCAGAGCCAGCTGCTGTGCTGTGCTAGACAGACAGGCTTGGTGTGCTTAGGAATCATGATTGTTAGGACTGGTGAACCCAGGCTAGAGCCTGCTGGAAGGTGCTTGTTCTCCGGGGTTTATTTTTAGCTTCTTCTCTTTTTTGTATTTGTCTCAGATACACCCACAAAGAATACTTGATCTGAATTACCTACCATGTCTCTTCCAGAGCTCCTTTTGAAGGCTTATCACAAGCATATAATGACCCTACTCTATAAACGGGGCCAACTGAGTTACCCAGTGGGCAGCGGACTTATCCTCGCATTCCTTAGTAGCATAAGTCATCCTCCTGTCACTGTCTGTGAGAAACTGTTCCCACAAGCTGCTCCCTGGTCTCCCTTTGGACTAGCTCCCTCCAACACCTCCTCAGGCAGCAGCCAGAGTGATGTAGATAAACATGACTGACCACTCACGCCTAATCTGAAAACCCTTCCACCAGTCCATGCAAACCAGAAGGTGAAACTGCATCCGGTTGCTTGGGACAGATCCTGGGTCCCTCTTTGCTTCTGTCTCTCCCAACTCCCACCCCTTCTTGTCTCAAACACTGATTGGTTCCAAACTGTTTCAAGTTCTGAGCATCCTGTCCTATGCCTCTGTCTTAATTGATGGACTTCAGCCTGGGACCCACCCACCCACCATCGTACATGCAGATATACCTTCAGAACCAACGTTAGAATTCTCCTCTTCCAGAAGCTTCATAGATCTCAATATCTGGTCCTTTTCCAACAGAATTCCTTCCCGCTTCTCTGGGCTTCTCTTGCATGTATTAATTAGAGTTTGTGTTCACTTCATTTCATGTCTGCTCTAATTGACAGTAAACTTGTCCTCCCAGATCTATATTTTAGCGTCTTTCTTTGGATTTGTCTCAAGCATATCCATGAAGCAGAATATTTTATCCATGAAGCAGAATATTTTATCTATGAAGCAGAGTATTTTATTCATGAAGCAGTTTATCTGCCATTTCTGTTTCTAAAGGTTCTATGGAAGGTTTGTCACAGGTTTGCAAAGTATAGCATCTAGACTAAGGGGTAGTGGGGTCCACAGTTCTGGCAAATCTAACTTGCTCCTGTCATTGGTTGGGCAAAATGGCCTAACTGAAAACTCAGAAGTGTCCTTGCTAAGCCTGAAGTCTCTAAATCCAGGCTGAAGTTATAGTTCACATTTGAGAAAATTGAGGTCAAAGGAAACGTGAGCCTGACCGTACATCCACACTGCCTTGTAGTATTATATAGTTCATCTGTCTTATCGGAGCATTTGCTCAAAGTGCAGATTAAAAGAAAATAATAAATACTGTGTCCTTCTTGTCACTTGAGGGATAAATGGTTCTTTTCTAAGAGAAAATACCTAAAAGAACTTTGGAAGTAGAGCTGAAGCTAAGAGGAGAAATGTTCTTTGATTCTTCTTTACTCACCTTAAAAGATGGCATAATAAACAGTAGTTTTACCCAGTGACATCAAGGACAAGTATTGGCTAAGGACAAATACCACATATGTGGCCTGTGGGTAACCATCATGTAGTCGCCAAACTTCACCATATCATATTGCTTAGGTTAGCTGGCCAAATAGCCTGAGCCAGTGTGGAAAAGCCGCCCTGCCTTGACGGCTGCAGGCTAACACAGCTGCCTTCCCCAGTTCTCTTATTTCTACTTTATTACCCTGCTCATAAAGAGCACCGTGCATGCTGAAATGAAAGTGAAAATTTGGGTCGTCTCCCATCAGAACACAACCTGCTTCTCAGTTCTGTAACCCTGCTTCCCACCCTAACGCGAGAACCTAATGCAGTCTCACCATGAGTGCCAGTCACCAGAAACAAAGCAGAAAACAAGACACATCCAGGGCTTGTCCTCTTGAAGTTCACAATCAAGTTACAGGGACTGTAGATGTAGTGTGTTCTCCTCCTGACAGTTTCTGTCCACTCAGACATTGGCTCTTTTCTGTATGGTACTGTGTGAGCCATTAACTCTGTTACATGTCCATTGCCAGGCTAGCAAGTAGGGTAGGGTGGGGTTGGAGGCAGGAATATATGGTTAATGGCAATTCAAGAGTTGGGGCTGAGGACCTTGGACACACTCTGGCTTGGGTGAAAAGCTAGAATTCTGTCTGAGTCTTTTAAAGACCTGCGTACTAGCTGATGCTGTACTGCTGTGGCTGTACGGGAAAGGGGTGCTGACAATCATTTGCACAAGTAAAAGCTTGTAACCAACCCCTCCATGTTAGAGGCTCAGTGCTCAGATCTCAGAGCAGCATTTTGCTTGTGATGAGCTCTATCCTTCCACAGCCATCTTTCCTCGTTTGATTCTGACCGTTAGGCTAGGTATAGCTTACCCCCATCACACCAAAGAAATAGACCTCCAGGAAGAAATAGCAAGACTGAGTTAAAATTCAAGGTTTCTGGCCTCAGAAGGGAAGCACGCTGTCTGAGACGTCGTCATGGGAAGGGGTGAAGTTCATTTACGTCACTTGGAATAAAATCTAAACAAGGACTGAAGAAGCTGCCTCTTCTCCTCTTATTACTGTTTACCTTCTCTGTCTCCAAGAGTAACTGAAGAGATAACTCAGCTGACAAGGACCAAGAGGCAGAGGGACGGGCAGATCAGACAGCAGTTTCTACCTGGGAGCAAAACTGAATCACTATAGCAATGGAAGGCATGCAGTGTGGTTTAAAAATGCAGCGACTGTTTGAAGGATTTTAAATTCAAGTTTATTAAAGGAGAAGACACATGGCCGCAATCTCCCATTCTT